ACCTTCTCGGCCGCCGCCACGCAGATGCGCCGGCGCCGCGCCTCCTGCTCGAAAGCCTCCATGCCTGTCTCGCCGTAGTCGCCCTCCGACGCCACGGTGGACACGTAGGTCCAGTTGAAGAAGCGCAGGATCTCGGCCATCGCCTTGGCCTGGTAGAAGTCGGGCGGCACGGTGCGCGCGAAGTAGTCGTAGCGGGACTTGTCGCTGAGCTTGGCGCTGGTAGAGGCGTAGCTCACCTGGGGGATGCGGAAGAGTCGCAGCAGGTTGGCCACCTGCGGGGAGAGGGGCAGGGAGGCGTGCGGGATCTCAGGTCGGGCCGACGGCGACCCACCCCGAGCCCGAGGTCCCCAGACGCGGAACGCCCTCTGCGCCTCAGTCTTGTGGGCGTCCGACGACAGAGCCCGAGACGCAGGCGGAGTGCTCCCTGGACACGTGGACGCTCCCTGAGACGTGTCAGGTGCTCACGGGACACCCGGACCATCTCTGACTTGGGACCCTGAGAACCGGGCCAGGTCCTCCCTGGACACTGCCTGGGACCATCCCTGAGACGCCCAAGCTCCGCTGCTGCACACCACCGTGGACCTTCCCAGGGGAGCCGCAGGCTCAGCCCGGACATGGACCTGGGCGGCCCCTGAGATGTACCAGGGGCTCCCTGGACACCTATCTGAACGACTCCCGGAAGCTGCCCAGGACAATCCCTGAGATGCCTGGGCGCTCCACTGAGCACAGCTCTTGTCCAGTCCTGAGCTGCGCCAAGCCCTTCCGAGGCACCCGGTAGAACTTCCCAGATATGCACAGGCGCAATCTGGGCACCTCCCTTAGACATTGGAGCAGGCCCCCAGCCAGACCTGTGCACTGGACAGAGCGTCCTGCAGACCCAGAAAGGCCATGCCAAGGCCTTCCTAGACTCTGCTGGATCTCCATGGGAAAACGTCCACCTGCCCTGGGTGGTGGTCGTAGCCTCTTAGAGTCCCACTCAACTCAGACGAGGAGCCACATGAATTGGCCACACTCAGGTTTTAGACAACCTGACTGTGGTTGTATGGAAGGGGCCCTGTGTTTAATTCTCACCTCCCCTTCTTTTGCTAAAAATGCCAGCCTCTGAAAGAGCTTAATTTGGGAACTGTGTGCCACATGGACAGTCCAAATTAGACATTTATTATCTAGGTTAAGAAAAAAATCAGTTCTATTGAAATTCCATTTGGCCCATTCTAAATTTGAGGCATATGCTTTTCAAGACTTCTGAAAACTTGACCAACTTTTCTTTTACTTAAAATTTTATTATATTTGGACAATGAAATTATATAAGTACACTACTTTTATGGGATTTTTTATTAAAAAACAAGTAAGGAAGTACTGAGGACATTGCTAAGAATGAATCACCTACTTCAAAATATTTAAATCCGACTCTGAATCAGATTTTTAAAATGTCTAATAAGTCAGCTATCAACAGTATTTCACTGGTTTTATTTATTGTAGAATAAAAAGGAAAATGACATTTCATTAAGGAGCATGGCCTAGAGTATTTGAAGAAATATATGTTTGCATGTTTGTAACTGACAGTATGTGTATGCCAAAAAAATTATTTGTATTTTTCCTGGCTTCTGAAATCTCTGTATATTGACTTTTTTTGGTACTGGGGATCAAACTCAGGCCCTTGCGCTTGTGAGGCAAGCAGCAGAAGCACTGAGCCAAATCCCCAGCCCTTACTGACTTTATGTATATGGTATTCTAAGTGGACCTTAATAAAAATAACTTGAATATGTATCTCAGTATACACTGTGTGCATTGGAATAAGTATGAACACTTCAAAATTTTCCTTCTGGAAATTGTGGTTTCACTTTCATATTTAGTAGGAGGCAGCAACAGCTTGAAATAGACAGCTGTCGGCAAAGAGGACGGGCATCACAAAGCAACTGATGCCCGAGTTCTGATTAATCATTGTGTCTGTGGCAGAGGAACCAGTAACTGAGCCTGTATCCAGCCACAGCATATTATCAGAGACCTGGCCTGCTGAGCAATCTTGTTCTGGATATACCTAGAGCAACTAAAACACATCTCATTTCAAATCCTGTACCTTTCACTCAGCCACAAGCAGAACAGTCTGGAGCATGGCACACAGTGTAATGATCAGAGCCCCACATCCTGGCTGCATCTGGTATTCCGAGATAGGGGCAAATATTCAGCAATGGAGTGGGTGGTAAATGAATAGGTAGGTGAAGGCTGGTGCACCATGTACCACTTGTTTCCTTGGGGTCAAGAGTCTGGACACGAAGGCCTGCCCTGCCTCAGTTGAGAAGGGGCACTGCTTGTGTTCTCGGCCAGATCGAAGCAGCAGGCGTTGTCACCCTGAGGAGCTGGCTCCTGTTGGGTCCATGCCCCGATGGAGGTGTGGCAATGGAAGCGTGTCTGTAGAGACATGATCACTGACTTTCTGGGGACCACTGATAGGTCCACTCTTCTTGATGTACCAGTTTCTGATTTTCAAGTTATATTTATCTGGACCTGACCAACTTGGGGAGATGGAGAAAGAAAGGACCTAAAAAATACCCAGAGACATTATTTCCTGGCAGGTTGAAATCCCAATGAAAGGATCCTTCCCACCAAAACCTTCTTCCCCCAGAGAAGTAGAAGGAATGAAACGCTGCTGAGGAAGATAAGTTCTTGTCTTTGACTGGTAGGGTCCTGGGGCTTCGTGTCCTCCTCCACAGTGTATCCAAGAACCATCTAGTCAAGGCTTCTACGTGGGAAAGTGAGTGGCATGGAAGGAGGGCGATATAGAAAGATTGCTGCACACCGAAGGGCCATGCTGAGCGGCAGCCCGCCGGGGAAGGTGTGGGCCAGGACGGAGCAGTAGAGTGTCACCCTTTCAAGGATGGCTGTGCACACCCCATGTATGGGCTCTCACGAGGGGATCACAGCCAGCCCTAGAAAGAAGTAGCACGTCCGGTGCGTTGGAATGTGAAGATGGAACACTGCCATCTCAGTTGTATCGTGTCTTCAACACCACGGAGCAATAAAAGAATTCAAAGTCAGGATTTGCAGTTTCATTAGAAACATTTAATACAAATGAAGAGCAAAGCAAAATGTTCAGGTACTTTTATCATAGGGACTTGTTACTTTTAGAATTGGTTTCTTTAGATTTAGAAGATAAAAATGTTTCATCTAGAAGTAAACATCACGGAAGCTGTTTCTTTCCCACCCATGCTCCATTCAGCCTGAGTTCTAGAGAACGATGCTCATAGATCAGTTTATGCATTTAAAAATGTATTCTGTTGCAAAGCCGGTCATCAGTGTACTCAGTATTTGTGTATGTTTTCTTTGGTATTCACAGACAACCTTTTGTGGTCGATATTATAATCTCCATTTTAATATGCACACACTGAGCTCAGCTTGGCAGAGAAACAAGCATTATCTGGTCAGAATGTCCAGGTGTAAAGGCAGGTTCTTCTATTTGAAGTGTCATAACTGTCCTTCACAATTCCTCTCTGCCTCTGATGTGACCCGAGACCTGCGACTTCAGCACGGAAGACATCAGGTCAGAAGCATGGAGAAGGGAAGAGAAGCAGAGCTATGATGTCCACCACGGGTGCCCAGTTGCCGTTGCAGTTGCTTTCCTTTTACTGTAAAGTTTTAAACAAGGGTTGGGAATGCCTAGGGAGTTGTCAGCTGGTGTTCTCATTTCATTTGTCATAAGGTTGGGCGTTTGAGACTTTCCTGCCATATGGTTTCCCTGAGAAAGCATGGAGAAGTAACAGAAACTCCTACACTGGACATCATCTTGAATAATAAAGGAAGAATCATTTTAGGATGAGGAAGTAATGTGAAATTTTGGAAGGAAGTTACACAATTATGTTATTATTAGTAGGAGTGGAGGAAGGTAAAACAGAAGCTAGTTATATATGTTTTTCCTAAAAAGTTTTAAAAGTAGAGATATGCTCCACATAGATCCAGATTCTAAAAAGGAATATAGCTCAGGGGAGAGAGGAAGAATGGAGAGGGAAGAGAAACAATACATAAAATACAGGATGGACACAAGACAGAGAAGACAGACTTCAGAAACCACTTGGGGATCTTGGGCTGCCTTGGGATGTAGCTGTTCAGAGAGCTACTGACGAGTAGGTTTTGTAGGTGTGTGGGTCATCATGAGCCTGTGAGGGTCAGAGACCAAGGTACAGAATGTGGAAATTGGCAAAATTATTTTTGTGGTTATTGTTTTGTTTTGAAATTATGTTTCAGGAGATTTGGTAGGAAGAAGTGGGAGCAGTGGTTGGGGAAATTGATTCCATATAAGTAAAAGAAAGACACTGCTCAGGCCCTTCTTTGTCCTTATTTTCCCCATTAAGGATGTATCCTAACAGAAATGGCAGTATAACTAGTATGAAAAGGTTATTTCGCATCAGAGTAAGACAGTTCAAAATCATATTGAGTTTGCCTTTAGCATTGAATTCTGAAATGATTTGCTGATTAAATTATGGGATTGTCAGTAATCTGAGAAATCAATGATGGACTGTCTGAGGGTGACAGAGGAGGAAGAAGGGCCAATTCAGGAAATAAAAATCAGTAACCACAATGTGGTTTTGGTAATTTTCTAGCACAGTTTTCTAATAGCACACAAACATCCAGAAATGAACCAGATAACGTTTACCTTAAGCAAGCAGAACAAGCTCAAATAAATAAACTCAGGAGAAACCTGAAGATACTTGAAAAACAAAAATCCACTTCTAAACCCAAGGTGAGAAGAGCATGAATCAATGAAATCGAGATTGAAAAGTAATACAAAGAAGCAAATGGAGGAGCTGATTTTTTCAAAAGAATAAGCAAAATAGATAAGCCTGTAGCCAGACTTAGCAAGAATCAGGATAGACTCACATCAATGAAATTATAAACAAAAAAGATGAAATGACCACAAATACCATTAAGAAAAATTATATCCTAAAAGATTAGAAACATTTGAAGAAATGGACAAATTCCTAGACTCAAATTACAAAAGCTAATTCAAGAGGTCAAAAAAGTACTAAACAAGCTAATAACAAGCAGTGAAGTTGAGATAGAAATAAAGAATCTACCAACTAAGAAAAGTCCAGCACCTGATGGGTTCATGGCTGAATTCTACAAAACCTTTAAGGATGTCATAGCACCTAAACTATGCACACTCTTCAAAGTAACTGAAGGGGATGGAATGCTTCCAAATGCATTTATGGGGATAGGATTACTCAGATTCCAAAACCAGATAAAGATCTAACTAAAAAAGAAAAACTACAGGCCAACC